TCAACACAATAAAAGTCACCTGCAGTTAACATTATGCTTAATGATGAGAGACAATGCTTTTCTCCCTAAGATCAGGAACAAGACAAGGATGGCCATTCTTGCCACTTCTATTCAACATTGTATTGGAGGCTCTACCCAGGAAAATAAGGCAAGAAAAAACTTTAAAGGCATCCAGACTGCAAAAAAAGTAAAACTATCTCTGTTACAGATGACAGGATTTTGAATACAGAAAATCTTCATGAATCCACTAAAGAAATACTATTAGAACTAATAGATGAGTTCAGAAAGTTTGCAAGACACAAGATCAAAAAGTCAACTGTATTTCAATACACTTGCAATTAACAATGTGAAGAAGAAATTAATGAAACAATTTCATTTAAAATAGCACCAAAAAGGGGAGTTCCCTGGTGGTCTAGTGGTTAGGATTCGGCACTTTCACTACTCTGGCCCGGGTTCAATCCCAGGTCAGGGAACTGAGAGTCTGCAAGCCCCACAGCTGTGGCCAAATTAATTAATTAAATAAAAATAGCACCAAAAAGAACAAAATTTTAGGAATAAATTTAGCAAAATAAGTGAAAATTTATACTCTGAACACTACATAACATTATTGAAGGACACTGAAGAAGACCAAAATAAATGGAGAGATACCCCATGCTCATGGATCAGAAGACTTAATATTGTTAAAATGGCAATATTCCCCAATTTGATCTACAAATTCAACACAAAACCCCATCAAAATTCCAGTTGGTTTATCTGTAGAAATTAATAAGCTGATCTTAAAATTCATATGGAAATTCAAGCGACCCGTTATAGATAAAACAATCTTTAAAAAAAACAAAGTTAAAGGACTCATAGTTCTTGATTTCAAAGATTACTACAAAACCTCAGTAGTCAAGACAGTGTGATACTGGCATAAGAATATATATATATAGATCAATGGAATAGAAGTGAGATCCAGAAGTAACTCCTCACACTTATGACCAATTGAATTTTGACAAGGGCACCAAGAGAATCCAAGGAGCAAATTTAACCAGTAGTTCCAGGACAACTGGATATCCACATGCAAAAGAATGAAGGTGGACCCCTACCTCATACAACATACAAAAATTATCTCAAATGCTAAGTGAAAGAAGCCAGTCACAAAAGACCACATGTTGTGTGATTCCATTTATAGAAATAGCCAGAGTGGGCAAATCTATAGAAACAGAAAATAGAATAGTGGTTGTCTGGGGCTAGGGGAAATGCAGAGTGACTGCTAATGATGTGGGGTTTCTTTATGGGGTGATGAAAATGTTCTAAAATTGATTGTGTTGATGGTTGCACAACTTAGTGAACATACTAAAAAATCATTGTATTGTACACTGCAAATTGGTGAATTATATGGTATGTGAATTATACCTCAATAAAAGTGTTATAAGAAAAAACAGACCCCCCTAGCAAAACCACATCCCATGGAGACCATCAACTTCAAAACTAAGGGAACGAGGATAATGACAATCCTTGAGAGTGCTAGGATTGGAAGTGGCCATGAGGGGTAGCTCTGGAGTGCTGGTACTATTCTGTTTCCTGATGGTTGCATGATGTGCTCACTTTGCAATATTCATATAGTTGTGTATGTATTACTTTGTATGTGTATTTTACTTCAATAAAAAGCACACAGTACAAAGAGACAAAGATATGGAAAATATGAAAATGTGGTTAAGAGTCATGGTGGACAGAATGAGCAGGTCTAATTCTATTTAATATGAATTCAGGGACTTCCCTGGTGGTCCGGTGGTAAAGAACACACCTTCCAACGCAGGGGACGCGGATTTGATCCCTAGTCAGGGAACTAAGATCCCACATGCCACGGAGCAACTAAGCCCATGCACCACAACTACTGAGTCTGAATGCCTCAACAAGAGAGACCACATGCCATATCTAAGACCTGACTCAGGCAAAAAAAAAAAAAAAAGAATTCAGTAAAAAGAGAATACATAGAACGTGAGAGGTATTTTTTCCCAGAACTAATGTAAGGCATGAATCCTCAGATACAGTGAATCCTGAGCAAACCAAATGAAAAGAAATCCACTCTTAGACATACTTACATATTCAAGTTCACATTTTTATTGTATTAAAAATATACAACATATAATTTGTTATATAACCATTTTTAAGGGTATAGTAGTGTTAATTACATGCGCATTGTTGTGCAACAGATTTCTAGAACTTTTGCATCCTGCTAAACTGAAATTGTATACCCACTGAACAACTCCTCTTTTCCTGCTCTCCCAGCTCCTGGGAACCACCATTCTACTTTCTTTCTACTACTTTGGATACCTTATCTAAGTGGAATCAAGTACATGTATTTTATTAAAAATTATTCACCTTTTGTTTATCCTTTATAGTCAGAACATTACATCAATTTAAAGAAAATAATGTGCAGTAAAGAGAACAAACAAAATATTTGTTATTAGAAAATGGCAATGGGGATTTCCCTAGCAGTCCAGTGGTTAGCAGTCTTGGCTTTCACTGCCAAGGGCTTGGGTTCAATCCCTGGTTGGGGAACTAAGCTCCCACAAGCCCCAGAGCTTGGCCAAAAAAAAAAGAAAGAAAGAAAATGGCATTGGGTTGCATAACGTTCAAAAACCACTGTGTCCCAACTGAACCTAACTGACCTATATCCATAAAATCCCACTCTAGAAACCTTATGAAAATACTGAGTCATCACTAAACATATAATGGACTTTCCTATCCTTACACTACTGTTCCTTCCAGCTAAATTAGCTTTATAGCTTCTCTCCAAACTTCGTGGTCTAATTTGATAACACCTCCTCCATGAAGCCTTTCCACATCTCATCAACCCACAATGAATCCTGAAATATTTGTTGTCTATAGCTGTCATGTGGCAATTAATCATGCACACTTTCGAGACAGAAGTTTTGTATTATCATTCAATGTTGTTTTGTGAATATGTTATCTCTCCAACCATATCTCACCGTTCTTTTTTTCTCCCACAGGACTTTAGGAATATCCTAAGCAGTCAGTAAATATTTGTTGATTGCCTGAAACAGGTACTTGCAAAATAGACTTAACTAATTTCAACAATAAAGACTAAAGAGCTTTATTTCAGTTCCCTTTAGAGACTGAAGAATCTGCTGATTCCACGTGCTGAGGCAGTGCAAATTCTAGAATAGCTTCATCTCTGTTGATCACCAGCGAGTTTATCAACAGAGATGATAGGAGTAAAAACTGGAACTAAATCTTTTAAACATTGTGCTTATTCCACTTCACAGCAAAATGGCCATTACACCATTCAAGAGCTCACTGTTAAATAGCATAGGACTAAACAAACAGATAACATACAATAACATGCTGTCGTTGGTAAACCCCATTTTTCCTATTAACAATATTTGTAAATGTAAACTGTAAGTATTGTAAAATTCTATTGTCCTTTTTAAGGAGCACATAGTTGGTGGCATCAGGTATATACCTTAACTGTTGACACACAACCATTAAAATTGTTAACCCACAAACTCTGTTCTAACCTGGAACTCCAACTCAGGATGAATAAACTTCCCTTGTCCCCACAGCCCACCCTCTCTCTTCCCTGTCTTGAGTAAAACCTTAGTGTCCTCTGAGACTATTCATTTTTGTCTAGTGTGCAAGGCAGGGGAGAGGGTCTGTACTGTTTGCTCTCTCCAGTGCAGCTCCCAAAACATGATTCCTGCTGCCTCAGGAATACGGCTCTCCTCTGGCATCTCTGCCCATCCCGCTGTCACTGTCTCTAAGATTCCCTAGCAGCAGCATCTACCAACCCCTCTGGATTACAATCTGCACATCTTCTGAAGACCAGCACCTGCTCACACTCTTCCAATTCCACCCCAAGCCCTGTCATCTTGCTGGGTAATTTCAAGGCCCATGTGCATCACCCATCTAACACGCTGGCATTTTACCCTGCTCCCTTAAGCTTCCCGACCTCATCCTCACCATTGTTTCACTGTGGTTTCCTCTCTGGGAATAACCTGCATCTGCTCTACCCTTAAAACACTTAAGGAGTTCACTAACACTCTCTCTCTGAGGTGAAGTTCACTTAACATAAAATTAACCATTTCAAAGTGTAAAATTCAGTGGCATTGAACAGATTCACGATGTTGTGCAACTATCAACTGATATCAAGTTCCAAAACAGTTTATCACCCCAAAAGAAAACCCTTTACCCGTTAAGCAGTCACTCCCCGTTTCCCTCCTCCCCACCCCATTCCCTGGCAACCACCAGTCTGATTTCTGTCTTCATTGATTTACCTATTCGGGATTTTTCTGGTCACTTTATGAAAATCTCCCTACAAAATACTGAATCAAAACTCTGTGCTTCCAATGCGGGGGGCGTGGGTTGGATTCCTGGTTGGGGAACCAAGATCCCACACGCTGCGGGGCGGGGCCAAAAACAAAACCAAAAACTAACAAAACCTTTTATTATGCAGTTCTCTTTTTGCTCAAAGTTACATAACACATTTAAAAAATTTCACATTCCACGCCCCGCCTACTTCCGACAACTGCAATAAAAACAAAATCCGACCGTCTTCTGCAGTCTCTCCTCTAAACCTGACATTTTCTGTCTCCCATACCACCCCAGTTTAGAATTCACCCGGGAAATAATGCATGAACAGAGAGCCTGATTTGCTTGTTTATTTATAGTCCATGCAGTCGAATTCCGTTCAACGAGATCCAGCTGCCCTCTCGGGCAACCGGTTAGGCGGTTCAGGGACAGGGTAGAGCCTGGCCAGCGGAAGCCACACCCATCCGCTGCTCTCCCGGGCAAGGGCGGTCGCCACCACCAGTCCCGAGCCCTGGGCAGCGACCGGAAGTGCGGTCCGCCGGGGGCGGGGAACGGTGACCCAACGCGGAGCCCGGGGCGGCGGCCAATCGGAAGCTAGCATTCCAGCGTAAAGGGCGGAAGAGAAGAGGTCTACTTCCGGACGCGGCTGCCGCCGCCGCCGCCGCCGCCGCTGTAGGCGCCATCTGTCATCTCAGCTCCGGCACCAGCACCCCGTCGCCCCTACCCCGCTGCCTGTCTCCTCGGCGGAGGCTGCTTCCCGGTCCTGCCACCTCTCTGCTCTGTTCTCGTCGCTGACTTCTTACCCCACATGGATCTGGTCGGAGTGGCATCCCCTGAGCCCGGGCCGGCAGCGGCCTGGGCACCCAGCAAGGTGAGTGGCGGTCGGGCCTGACGTACCTGCCACAGTCGCCTGGGCTGGTCCTCTCGGAGGGCCCGGAGAGGGTGGCAGGCGCCGAAGCGGCTCCGCGGGCGATTCGGGAAGTTCTGGGCGGGACCCAGACCACCTCGGAACGGGGGACGGGCGGCGAGGCTGCGGGGCTCGGGGTGGGAGAGGCAGGGAAGGGGCACAGGCTACCAAAGTCCACCCTGGGCGGTTTGGAGTCTCTGTCTAGTTCTACACCTTGGTTTCTGAACCTCTGTAACAAATATTTGGGCAGGACTCGCTTAAAGGTGCTGACATTTGACGGAAAACAAGCACGAACTTGTTTTTCACCGGCCGCATGAATCAGTCCAGTTATACACAGAAAGCCCGACAGAAAGGTGGTTTAGGAAGCTGTTTCCTTAACTTGGCAAGCGTGGTTATCCTACTTGGGCAGTTTCTTGTTTTTGAAGTAGTAAAAGATAAATCCTAGGCGCACCCTCCCTCGGCTCCAGGCTAATTCTCAAGTGTTTACATACTGTTGAGACGGTTATGAAATTCTCATTTACCTGGGTTTTAACGTTTAAGCTTTTCCCTGTAATGGCCAACTAAAATGTTTATTTCACATTTGGTTTCTGGTTTCAGGCTGCTTCTTTTCATGATACTTTCATTAGAAGGTTGAAAAGATTCTTTTGCTACTTTATGGAGGGTTTTACTTGAAAGCAAAAGTGGGTCAATTGCGATTTTGTGTTCCTCAAATTAAGGTTGTGAAGGTTTTTTAACTTCATAATGGTTCTTTTTTGATTTAATGGACATATAACAACATATTTAAGGTGTACAGCATAATGATTCGTTATGTGTATTTATTGCAAAATGCTCACCACAATAAGTCTAGTTAACATACAGGATTACAATTTTTTTTCTTGTGATGAGAACTTTTAAGGTTTACTGTCTTAGCAACTTTCAGATATATAGTACAGGATTATTAACTATAGTCACCATGCTGTGCATGACATCTCATGCCTTATTTATTTTGCAGCTGGAAGTTTCTACCTTTTGACCACCTTTACCCATTTCATGCACTTCTTTACATGCTGACACAGAACATTTGTTCCATATAAAGGGTCACTCATGACTCTTACTAGATCTTCAGACTAGGTCTTAACAGAAAGTGGGGGAAATAAGTAGCTTTTAGGTAAAGCTTTTAGGTAAATTTTTATAAAAGTTCTCATACAACCGTAGAGAGAATCAAATATTCCATTGGCAAATGTGGTTACATCTATGTGTTACTTTGCGTATTTTTTTCTATCAAGGCTTTGTTTACAAGGCCAAGATCAGTAGACATAAAAGGATGAAATCAGTAGAGAGATACTAGTAAATATATACTTTACGTGTTAAACTCCTCCAGGTAAGCATCTGTAAAGCTTGTAAAAATGTCAGATGAAACAAACGTTGCTTAGAATACCTAACCTCAGAACAAACTTACAAAACGAATTCAGTAATAAAATATTTGATATCAGTCATATTTTCATTTAGGTGTACATCATCAGAACTATAAAATTTCATTTTCACTGTTCAACAAAAAATCATCTTGGGGTTTATTGATGTTCTGTTGAGAAGACAGCATTTTCATAGGCAAAACAAATAGAAAGATGCTACAAGTATTAATCATTTCCTTCTCTAACCTCTTGAAAGACTGAAGTGATTATAGAAGCCTTTGTGGAGGAGGTAGAGGTTTGAGGAAAGTCTTGGAAAATGGAAAGAATATTAAAGGCTGGCAGTTCTCGAAACTTTTGCATCAGGACTTCTTTACACTCTTAAAAAACATTGAGGACTCCAAGAATTTTTGTTTATATTGGTTATATCTATTGATATTTGTCATACCAGAAATTAAAACTGAGATATTGAAAAAAATGTTTAAGTGATTATGTTAATATAAATAACATTTTTATATTTAAAAAAACTATTTTCCAAAACAAAAAATTAGTGAAGAGTAGTATTGTTTCGTATTTTTGTAAATCTCTTTAATGTCTGACTTAATAGAAAACAGCTGGATTCTCATAGCTCCTTTTTTCTTCAATCTGTTGCGATATGTGTTAGTTGAAGTATATGATGAAAGTCTATCCTAACAAATATGTAGATTATAGCAGGCATAATTGAAGATGGGTAATAAGAGCACGGTAGACGCGCTAAGAACAAACTGAGTTAATCTCTAAAAATGCATATTTAAAAAAATATTGAAGTGTAGTTGATTTACAATTGTTGTGTTTAATTTCAGCTGTACAGCACAGTGACTTAGTTACACATATACATACTTTTTAAAAAAATTTTATTTATTTTATTATTTTTGGCTGTGTTGGGTCCTCGTTGCTGCGCGCGGGCTTTCTCTAGTTGTGGCGAGCGGGGGCTACTCTTCGTTGCGGTGCATGGGCTTCTCATTGCGGTGGCTTCTCTTGTTGCAGAGCACGGGCTCTAGGCGTGCGGGCTTCAGTAGTTGTGGTGCACGGGCTCAGTAGTTGTGGCTCATAGACTCTAGAGCGCAGGCTCAGTAGTTGTGGTGCACGGGCTTAGTTGTTCCGCAGCATGTGGGATCTTCCTGGACCAGGGCTCGAACCCATGTTCCCTGCATTGGCAGGTGGATTCTTAACCACTGCGCCACCAGGGAAGCCCAACATACATTCTTTTTTATATTCTTTTCCTTTATGGTTTATCACAGGCTATTGAATATAATTCCCTGTGCTATACACAGTGGGACCTTGTTGTTTATCCATCCTACATATAATAGTTTAAAATGCACATTTATATCCTCAGCCTACTTACTACCTTTGAAAATTTTAGAAAACATAAGAATACACATGCACACATTCTAGTAGCCACCAGAGTGCTGCCATCATATCTGATACAGACTCTGGAAAACCTCACTCCACACTCTTGAGAGAATGAGAATGGGAAAGACAAAAACTATCTTAGAACTATTATGAGAATAATTTTGACCTCTTAGACACCCTGAAAGGGACTTGGGGTCCCCAGTTACAAAATCCCAAACTGCTGTTATGAACAAAGAATTTTAGGGAGTATTCCAAGCAGGGAGAATTGACAAACTGTAGGCAAAAGTGAGGAAGTATGTAGCTCTGTTGGAAAGAGCTGTAACAAATGGATTAGTGGTACTCCTCAAAACTGTCAAGGTCGCGGGCTTCCCTGGTGGTGCAGTGGTTGGGAGTCCGCCTGCCGATGCAGGGAACACGGGTTCGTGCCCCGGTCCGGGAGGATTCCACGTGCCGCGGAGCGGCTGGGCCCGTGGGCCATGGCCCCTGGGCCTGCGCGTCCGGAGCCTGTGCTCCGCAACGGGAGAGGCCGCAGCGGTGAGAGGCCTGCATACTGCAAAAGAAACCAAAACAAAACCCAAAGACAAAAAACAAAACAAAACAAAACAAAAACTGTCAAGGTCGCCAAAAACAAAGTCTGAGAAACTCAGAGCCAAGAGGAGCCTAAGGAGACATGATAGCTAAATGTTATATGGTATCCTGGAAGGCATCCTGGAGTAGAAGAGGGCCGTTAGGGGAAAACTAAGGAAATCGGAATGAAGTATGCACTTTAGTTAATAATAATGATTTGGTTCATTAATTGTGACAAATGTACAGTATTTATATGGGGAAGCTGGGTATGGGGTATCTGGGGACTCTCGACACAATCTTTGTGATTTTTCTGTAAATCTAAAAATACTCTAAAATTGAAAGTTTAAAAAAAAAAAAAAGATTAGTGTTGTTGTACAGACCCAGATCACGTTTTGCAGAGATCCTTGTTTTGAGAAGTAAAATTACCCACTTAAATATTGTGCCTAGATTATGTCTTCTACCTGCATGCATGAGCAGAAAAGGGACCTTTCTGTGGGGTTATGGTTCTGTTGACTTGCTTCAAGTTGAGGACTGAATTTTTTTTATTATGTGCCTCCTTCATGTTTGCTTTTTTTTTTTTCAGTTTACTTGATTGTTTCCCCATAGTTGTGTGCAGTAAAACGTTAAAAAAAAAAGTGGGATGGGCAGCTGGGGATGCATCTTTAGGAGTGGAAGGAAGGGGGAATGATTTCCCACTAGTCTGCAGCCAGCCAGATGTGGGAGAATGGTGGTTGTGATGACCCCAAGTTGCTGAGTTTAGTGGTGGCAGTTTCCCAGAGGAGAGAAAAACAAGATTGGTGAGGGGTCTTCAGCAAACCGGAATCAGGGAGCTAGTGATGGGCTTGATAGATGTCATTTAAAGCAGAATAACTAATTGGAAAGGATTGTGTGGAGTTTCCCATCAGATCTTGATGCAGTGGGAAGTTTATGCTGGTGAAGGGAGTAGTGGGAAAGGACGTTGGATTGCTGGGATAGAGCAAGATGATGAAGGGCCTTTTACTCTTATCTCCTTAGATTTATTATTATTTGAACATTTGACAGAGTTTCTCTGTTCACAAGGAGTGTTTGACTTACTGAAGAGTTGCAAGATGACGACACAGGATTCCCCTCCATACACCCACTGGTGCCCATTTGTGGGAGGAGCCCCCAGTGCCTTTTCTAAGCCCCCTCAGGGTGGTGAACCGCTTGTGCCTGTGGAGGACTGTCCCTGCCCAGCAGCTCTCCCTCCAGCCCAGAACATTTTATGGAGGGATTTTGGCTACTGGTTTGAAGAGTTTGGATTTGATTTCAAAGTATAGAAGTTGGCACACTTTCGGAAGTCTTTACTTATTTATCCCACCCAAGGAAATTGTCTCAGTGTGAGGTTGCCCAGCTGAGCCGGTCAGCAGAGGTGCAGGGAAGTACAGCTCTAGAGTCTGAGGCTCCGAGGGGCAAGGTCAGTAGGAGTGGGCAGTTAGGGTATCTTGGTACTCTCTTGGTCTCTGCATGTTTCCCTTTCTGATTCAGTCTATCTTGGGGGTAGGTAAATCTCTGCCACAAAATAACACAGTTGCTGCCTCTCATTTTTGCCTCTCCGAGAGATTTTCCGCTGGTGTTTTAACACCTTAGAATTGATTGACTGCTGGCAAGAGAGTAGAAGCATCAGAAGTGGGTGGGCAGGGACTTCCCTGGTGGTCCAGTGGTTAACACTCTGAGCTTCCACTGCAGGGGGCACGTATTCCATCCCAGATCGGGGAACTAAGATCCCATATGCTAGGTGGCACGGCCAAAAACAAAACAAAAGAAATGGGTGAGCAAAGCAGCTGACTGCAAGGTGGAGAGAAGGACTTTAAAATAGGAGGGATGTAGAAAGGCACCAGACCTCTACCGCCTAGGCACAGCCTGGCAGTTCCATGAGATATCTCCAGGTTTCCTTTTGGCACATCTTGTTCAGTAAATACTTGAATGCCTCGTTATGTCTGAAGCTGTACACTGAACTCTGAGAATGAGAAGACCTTGCCCTTCAAGGGGCTCTTGCTGTGTTGTGGCTGACGCATTTAACTATCTAATACTGATGTGGGAAGATAAAGGAAAGGATCTAATTTTGTCTGATAAAACTGAGATAACCCTATGGAAGAGCTGACACTTAATTGGGTGAAATAGAGAAGGAAGAAAAACCTTTGAGAAAGAAGGGGATGTGTGAGGGGTGAAAGGCGTGGAAGGGTGAAACTATGCCATATTTAGCATTTAATTAGTGTTGCCAGAGTCTAGGATAGGTGAGAGTCAAGACTGGAAGGATAAATTAGGCAAGCTGTGAAGGGCATTCCTTACTGAGAAATTTGGATTTTAGACTGCAGGCAGTACAGCAGTTTGCTTCTCCCATCCCAGGACAAGGTGTTTAGGGAAGCAGTATAGCAAAACACTCTTAAGCCCTACTGCCTTGGTTCAAATCTCAGCACTTCCATCAACAGTGTTATCTTGGGTTAAAAGACTTTTCTGTGTCTCAGTTTCTGCATCTATAAAATGGGGATGATATTGCAACTACTCCAGTGTGTCACTTAATCTATGTAAGTTAGGTGTATTTAGCCAATATAGAGAGTATCCCCGTGGTGCCTGTTATGCTACTGTTAGTCGTTGCAAAATGTGATAGTTCTGAGCTAGAGAATACAGTTATTTGCCTTTTGGAACCTGGACTTTGATCAGACCAAGCATTTCTTGGTAAGAGGCAGCATTTATCTTCTACCTAGAAGATGCAGAAGCAAGTCAGGAGAGTCATGTGGCCAAAAGATTAGCTATATTCTCCAGATTACAGAGAGCGTCAAGATTACAGACCTCAAAATCCTCACCAGGAGAGTGCTCAAGATCTGAGTCAGTGGAAGTCATACCACACCATGAGGAAACCTTCCTGTTGTTTCCAGGCCTGGCCTTATACAAGGCCAGAACAGTTCTGCAATAGGCTAGTATAGGTGGGGGCTGGGGGCATCTCACCAGTCTCAGGGTGAGACTAGATAAAACTTGATTCTGATTCACTTAGGCATAAATATAATGATCATTTATCACCCTTATGTGCTTCACCCTAACAGTTTGAACCAAATAAATCCCTAAACCTCAACGTTATGGAACTTGAGCAAGGGTAAGTTGCCCAGTTATCCCTGGGAGTCACTCCAGCAGGCCGTTAGACCAACTAGAGGGCCTGTACTGGCTAGACTTGATTAAACAAATTTGTGGCCAAAACACTTACCATTATATGCTATATTCTAAATTAGACTCTCAGTAATAGTTAAGCAATGAGTTTGGATTTTATCCTAAAGGCAGTGGGAGACATTAAAACAATAAAGAGCTTTAAGTAAGGAACTGAACCAATCAGATCTGCGTTTTAGAAAAACCATTACGCTGTGGTGTGGAGAATGGAAGCAAGCAGAAAGATGAGTTAGGAGGCTCTTACAGTAGCCCAGTGATGGGAGGATGATACCGGAAAGGGGATAGAGAGCTGGGCAGCTTCAAGAGATACTTAGACATCTTATTCAGTATTAACGGTCTTAATCACTAGACTATCAAATGGAATCATTTGCTGCTGCTAAGTAAAGCCTGCCCCCCTCAAAAATTAGGAATTGTGAAGTAAACCTACGGTTTGTATGTATTTCAAGAGGGCTGAGATAGTGATGCCATCGAGGAGGGCTGAGTGGCTGGCTGCTCTAGAAGAGTCTCACAGAGTATTACTTTGCTCTAGTAGTATTGTTTCAAGAATCTATTTCTCAGCTTCCAAAGTTCAGAAATATAGGATTCATTGTTTGTTATTGCTGTTTTTATTTTCGCATATTCCAAGGTGTCTTGAAAGGGTCTGCCACACACTTTTTACATGTAGAAGACTTACTGCTTAAATTAGAAGGAAGTGTAACTTCTAAGTGGGCTTTGAATTGTGGTAGTTGGTATATAGCCTGTTCCTGTAAGAGGATCTACGCAGAAGCCAAACTATAAGCAGAAGGTTGCTTGGTGAGCATGGAATCAGAACAAGGGGCATTACATGAACTCATTGGCTAGTTGGTGATGCTAGAGTAGCCTGTGCTTCCCCTCAACTGTAAGGACATACCCACCAAGCAGGCTGGAGAGTGCTTTTGGCTGTCGTAGTTTAGGTTTATCTTTGATTAGATTTGAGCTGGGATATATTTTTCCTTTTAAGATGATTTCTGCAAAAAAGGTAAGCATTCCTTTTGAGTTGATTTAGATAGTCTAATTCTCAAAAGATAACCTTATTTCCAAGTTTGGAAAGTACTTTAAGTTCATTATTATGAATAGAATTGCCTTTTTTTTTTTATAGTGTCCATGGGCTACCCCTCAAAATACAATATCTTGTTCTTTGTCTGATGTAATGAGTGAACAGTTGGCTAAAGAATTGCAGCTGGAAGAAGAAGCTGCCGCTTTTCCTGAAGTTGTGTGAGTAAAATTCATAGAGACTCTATTTTATCTAGCAGCTTGTTATAACAGTCTTAGGATTTGATTAGTGATTGTCATGACAAATGATTCAGAAATACATTTAGAAAAGCAGTGCAATAGAAAGAGCACTGTTTTGGGAGTTCACTGATACATGGGTTTTGGTCCTAATTTTGTTACTAGTGTTCAGTATTATCTTGGGCAAACCACTCTGTTTCTCTGGGTTTTAGTCATTGCAACAGTTGAACTCTATTATCAAATAGATTAAAAAATAATGAAGTAGGGTACAGTTTTGATCAAATGTTTGTTGTTTATCTTTTCATATATATGTTATCTCTCCTTTGATCAGAATACAGAACGAATGAATTTTGGGTCTGTTTGGTTTTTATTATAGGCCCTTTAGCTTTCTCTTGAAGCTCTCCTAATCCTAGTTGGTGCTTTCACAGGTGCCTGCTATTGGTCAGAGGGCAGCTGGGCAGGAGAGGGTGAAGGGTTTGGTAAAGTTCTTTTCCATTGTTTCTTCAATACAGTTAACACTGAAAAGGCACATCTCACCCATAACTGGTAGCGTCTCTTTACACAAGCACATTATATTAGTCTATACTGCCTTATTTTGAATAGCGTTGCTGAAGGACCATTTATTACTGGAGAAAACATTGACACTTCCAGCGACCTAATGCTGGCTCAGATGCTACAGATGGAATTTGACAGAGAATATGATGCACAGCTTAGGCGTGAAGAAAAAAAATTCAATGGAGATAGCAAAGGTACTATGACCTTATTGTGTCAACTCCATCGGGTGGTAGAAAATGCTTGCAATGTGCCCCTAAATAAATCTTCAACCATTTTTGCCTTTTAAGTTTCCATTTCCTTTGAAAATTATCGAAAAGTACATCCTTATGAAGACAGTGATAGCTCTGAAGATGAGGTTGACTGGCAGGATACTCGTGATGATCCCTACAGACCAGGTATCTGTGCTTTTATTTTCTGGGGGCATAGAATGGGGATGTAGGAAGACTAAGTATTTTATATTTGTCTTTGAATCTCATTTGGTAATTTACTATTAGATTCAAATATCTTTTTCAGATAATAGTGAATGCAGCAATTTAGTCTTTGCTATTTTTACATACTTGGCTTGTCTTAATCGCCTTTAGCAAAACCAGTTCCTACTCCCAAAAAGGGTTTTATTGGAAAAGGAAAAGACATTACCACCAAACATGATGAAGTAGTATGTGGGAGAAAGAATACAGCCAGAATGGAAAATGTAAGTTACAGAAGTATTACTCTGAATCAAAAGTTTTATTAGAATAAGTTAAAAACATAGCATTCTAAATACAATATCTTTAAATTTCTAAAAATATCCTTCCTCCTTTCTAAGGATATTTTAGATGACAGTATAGCAACACTGTGGGAACTGAGCCACTAATGAGAATATAATGTACCTCAGAATAAAATCCTACATCAATATTAAGAAAACTAGTTTGATTTACATTGATTCTAAAATTAAGAAATGGTTCTTCTGAAAGTAACATTTATTTTTCAGCATCTTATTTTCCATAAAATACCTGAGAAACAGATAACAATGGTGATTGGGGGTTAAGAATGGGAGATAAATATACTTTCTACTGTATACCCTGTTATAATTTTTGAATTTTTTATCTTGTGCCTGAACTACCCCTGCAAAATCAGAAACACAATGTAATTTTTAAAAAATAGGAGAGGGCTTCCCTGGTGGCACAGTGGTTGAGAGTCCGCCTGCCGATGCAGTGGACACGGGTTCGTGCCTGGGTCCGGGAAGATCCCACATGCCGCGGAGCGGCTGGGCCCGTGAGCCATCGCCGCTGAGCCTGAGCGTCCGGAGCCTGTGCTCCGCAACGGGAGAGGCCACGACAGTGAGGGGCCCGCGTACCGCAAAAAAAAAAAAGGAGAAAAAGAAAAATGGCATTTTTTTCCTCCTTCGTAATTATCGTGGTTAATATAAAACATTTAGGCTTTAGAATACAAATACTTGTTAAGTAAACATATTCTAGAAATAATCCAGATCTGACTCTAGAACAACCCTGTCCAGTAGTACCTTCTGTGATAATAGAAATGTTCTGTGTCAGTGCTGTCTAATATGGCAGCCATATTCGACAATTGAGCACTTGAAATTTGGGTGGTACAACTGAGGAACTGAATTTTTAATTTTATTTTAATCAATTTAAATTTAAATATCCACATGTATCTAGTGGCTTCCGTATTGGACATAATTGTCATGGTGTGGGCATAGCTTGTGATTTTAACCCACTCTTCAAAAATAATTGACTATGAAAAAATTTTTTTTTTGGTAAGATTTGGTATGATTTCAAAATATAATGTGTCTTTGTCTGATGTAAAAGCATAAGGTATTTTAGCATATGTTCAAAGCATATGCTAAAATACCTTAGTTTTTAGATGTGTTTGGATGTTTTCTATGCATATAATAAACCTTCCCGGGGCTTCCCTGGTAGCGCAGTGGTTGAGAGTCCGCCTGCCGATGCAGGGGACACAGGTTCGTGCCCCGGTCTGGGAAGATCCCACATACCGCGGAGCCACTGGGCCCGTGAGCCATGGCCGCTGAGCCTGCGCGTCCGGAGCCTGTGCTCCGCAACGGGAGAGGCCACAGCAGTGAGAGGCCCGCGTACTGCAAAAAAAAAAAACATAAAAAATAAAAATAAACCTTCCCTTCCTTTGGGATACAGTTTCTTAAAAAGCCTTGTTTCCCTTTCTGTTGGGCTTACCAGTGAGTTATTTTGCTTTTTCCTCTGTAATACCTGTGGGTTCTGCTTTCATAGCATTATCATCTACTGAGTAGAAAACCCAATCCATGTAAAACTGATTTTCTCATTGTTTTTTGTTTTCACTTCCCCATTTTAAAGTACTCAGATGCTAATTTTTCTTCTTCTTTTTGGCAGTTTGCACCTGGGTTTCAGGTAGGAGATGGAATTGGAATGGATTTAAAACTATCAAACCATGTTTTCAATGCTTTAAAACAACATGCCTACTCAGAAGAACGTCGAAGTGCCCGCCTCCATGAGAAAAAGGAGCATTCTACTGCAGTAAGTATTCTTAACGTTTTTGTTTCTGTTTTTTTAGTGGAAAGATTCATATTAGAAAACTTCATGTTCAGGGAAAAAACAAGATAAAACTTCATGTTTGATGTTTTTTTCATGAGATTGACTTTTCAAATCAAAGATGTAAATGAAACCCAAGTAGCTTTGCCATTTGACTTTTCAGATTTCATGTAGTGGTTATTAATCACTTATTCAAAACTAACATTTCAGTGGTCATAATTAATTTGGACTGTGTAGTTTACATTGCATATGAAAAGTTGTTTCCTGTCATGACATATTTATAATAACTTAATAGTCTACAATGTTTTACCTTAACAAAGATAGTGTATAATATCTGAGAATAATTTTTAAAACTTTAGAAAAACAAACTAATGGTAAGTACATTAGGAGAGCTATTTAAACTTTGGAGATAAAATTTTGACTAAACTAGAGTCTGATTTTTAATGGTTCTTTTAGATATTCACTTTCAAAGACATTAGAGTTACAGAAATGAATTGTATCTCGACAGCACTCTTTTAAGAGCCTATTGTATATACACCTAGGTAAATTAATAATAAAGGTTAAAAAAAGTATATATTTTGAATGTTAGATACTAGAAATGGCTCAGAAAATGTTTTGTGATTACCAGTTATTTTCACTTACAGTGCTTTATCTTTTGTAGGAAAAAGCAGTTGATCCGAAGACACGTTTACTTCTGTATAAAATGGTCAACTGTGGAATGTTGGAGACAATCACTGGCTGTATTAGTACAGGAAAGGAATCTGTTGTCTTTCATGCATACGGAGGGAGGTAAATGAGCAAAATACAATACCATCATATCAACAAAAGCTTAGCCCCTTCTCCCTGATATTAATGGATTTATACAAAATCAAAGTTCATTCTGCATGGCAAACAGTTATTTTTAAAGTGTTATTGTAGGAGGTCTCAGCAGTATAGGGATGTGTAAAGAAAAACACAACCAGGGGTGTTCCCTGGTGGTCTAGTGGTTAGTATTCAGCTCTTTCACTGCTGTGGCCCAGGTTCAATCCTTGGTCAGGGATCTGAGATCCTGCAAGCTGTGCAGTGCAGCCAAAAAAAAAAACAAAACCACAATCATCCCAATTCTGCCATCCAGAGATAACCATTAATAATTTTGTTGTAGACTCCTCCAGGCTTTTTTCTGTGAATATATTATTTTTCACATTATTGTAATTATACCATAACATACAGGCAGCTGTAAGTGGCATAGCAAAATCTGAACCTGAGTTTGACTCAAAACCCACGTCTTTCCACTGTGGGACCCTTTGGTACCAGGTTGGGAGGGCCATACTTAGATCAGTTACCAATTCCTACCCTTTTAATAATGCTTTCATTATTTAAAGAAATGTCTTTAAAGATCATATGCCATTTTAGAGCTTACCCATTTTACTTTTGTTATGAGGGTTTAGTTGAGTAAAGGATGGTATGAGGAAGAGAAAAAATTTTAAACGTGGATGTTGTTGAGAGAACGTGCTTAAGCCAGGAATATGAAGTCACCTGGTTACTTAGCTTTGAAGTCTTACTAGTTCAGCAAGGCTTACTATCTCAGCTATTCCTTTACCTGAACATTATTTATAAACAAAAATGTTAAAATAGATTACAGATGATTCTAGTTTTTTTTAGGTTTAGAAGGTATTTATTTTATACTTAAGGGGATTCAAACAATTATTGGTCAAGTCCTTGTCTTTGTTTTTCTTAATTATTTAACTAGTCTCCCTTTCTAAATGAGACATATACATATAATCATGTATTGAATTATACTAAGTTCCGAAATGAAAGGGATAAAATGAATTTTAGGATAAAATGGCTCAACATATTTCAAGCAACGTGATATGGAGCAATTTACTAAATGTCATTTAAAAACTGACCCTTACCTCATAGGATTTTGTTGGGGGTAAATGAAATCATGTTTTATAATAACTGGTATATATTAATTTTAGTAAACATTTATTTTTTTCTGGCTTTAAGCTCTGTTGCCCTCTTTCCAAATTTCAGTTGAGCGTTCCCTGAGACCAGGCAAACATAACTTAATTGCACAAATTATTTTAAAATGAAAGATTACTCATGGTAGAAATTAAACTGTACAGAAAGGATTAAAATGAAGGTAGCCTTCATCTTACCAGCTGTCGCCCCACAGGTTTTTCCTCTAAGGGCAACCACTATTAATAGTTTTTAGTCTAGCCTTCCAGAAATTTTTATGCATGTATTTCTTATTTTGTTTGTACAAAAGAAATTATATTCTGCATTCAGCATCTTCGTTTTTCAGTTAATATATCTTATATCCTTTTATATTGCTGGTTTATATCATACCAGTTTTATAGTAGAACATTCTACTTTGTGAATATATAGGAATATCTTTGTACATATACTTTGGTGTGTTTTTGCAAATAAATCCTTAAGCTAAATTCCTAACATTTGAAATTTCTGGGGCAGAGACTACATGCATTTTTTTCCCCTTTCTGTTAAATAGTATAAGGTCTTATTGAATGGAGAGTATCAGATTTTGCTCACTGTTTGGGCCTCTGAGCTGGCTATTGTAGCAAGCAATGTTTCTTGATTTCTTTTATTTATTAAAAATTAAAGAAAAATTTTTTTCTTGTATGTCACACCAAAGACCAGAAATCTCAAATTTGTGTTTACATTTTAATGGTAGGGCAGTTGCAGTTTTCTCTACGAGCTAGTCACATCCTCAGGTTGCATACATTCTGAATGTCAGTAGGTATTACCAAATTGCCCTATGAGAAAGTTAACCAGTTTATGCTACCACCAGCAGTATGAGCCTGTTTCCCTCATCCTCATCAGTGCCTAGTCTTATCAAACAATACTTTTTTTGTCAGTGTGAAAGATGAAAAGTACCTTTTTAATATTTTGGTGTGCATTTATTTAATTATGGTTAAGTTTTTTTTTTTTTTTTTTGAGTGTATTGGCCTCTTAAGTTTCTTTTTCTTGTCAATTGCCTTGTTTAGCCTTTTCCATTTTCTGTTTTACTTAATGATGCTTTGATATAATGAATGAGCTCCCTTTCCTTCTGGTGGAATTGGTATTGTAATCTGTACTTTGGCATTTGTAAATTAGCAAAGCTAGAGAGCATTCGGTTTTCAGCAACTGAGAGTAAATATTTTTTAAAGTGTATGTTAGTTTTCTCTGCTACATAACAAATTACCACAGATTTAGCAACTTAAAACAACACCTATTTATTATCTCATGGTTCCTGTTGATCAGAAGTTCGGGCAGGCACGGCCTAGCTGGGTTCTCTGCTCAGGCTCTCCCAGGGCTGCAATCTGCGTGTCAGCTGAGCTGCATTCCTTTCTGGACATGGGTTCCTATTCCCTTGCCACAGTTCAGTTCCCTGCAGCTGTAGGACAGAGGTCTCTACTTTTTGGTTGGCTGTCAGCCAGGGGCTGCTCTCAGCTCCTAGAGGCCCCTGCAGGTCCTGGTCATGTAGCCCTTTCATACAGCAGGTTACTTCTTCAAAACCAGCGGGAGACTCTCTCCCTTCAGTCTCCTGAGACTGAGTCTTAGACAATGGAATGTAATGCTGGGCACGACTATACCATCACCTTTGCCATATAATGTAAGCTATTCAAGGGAGTGGCTATCCCTCCCACACTCAAAGGGAGGGGCTTATACAGGGTTGTACACCAGGGGCTGGGATCTTGGGGGGCATTTTAAGTTCTGCCTACCATAAAGCTCTTCTGGGTTCTGTCAGTCTCAGGTTGGCCAAGTAATCAACAGTTATTTGAATAGTAATATGTTCTAGATTTTTCAGGGAATAAGTGTATAACATGTTTTCTATTGTCAAAGAGCTTATGGTATATCCAAGAGGAGAACGTTACAGTAAGAACCGTTATGGTCCATTAAAGATAATACATAATAGAGTACGCAGTTAGACAAGTGAGACCTCAGGATAGGAATAGAGAACAGAAGAAGATCATTGCCGGTCACATTCAAGGAAGAGGTCATGATGAAGTTGGATCTCAACCTGGATTTTAAAAATAGGTTAAAAAAAAAAAAAAAAAGACAACCCTCCCCACCCCCCAGTACTGAGTGCAAAAAGCTATTTGCAGAATATATACAGTATACCATCTGTTTAAATTTTTAGTTATACAGAATGTAACATACATGGTTTTTTAAAAATGTATGTTTGTGGATACTTACGTATGTGTGTGTATCTTTTTAAAAAGACTAGAAGGGTACTATTCATGATTGTGATTGTCTCTAAAGAGTTGGAATGGGGACTGAAACTACCAGGGGTGGTAAATAATCAAAAGGAACTTCAGCTTTATCTGTAAAGTTTAATTCTTTTAAAAAAAAAAAAAAAGTGGGGTGGGGGAGGGGTGCTGAAAATGGGAGGATTGAAATTTAGGCGATGAGACTTGTCAGTGAGGAAATTAGAAGGTATATACGTAGAGGTAATAAGATGTAAAATTGTGTAAGCAAACCAAAAATTGGTAAGGAGGACCTTAAAAGCTAGGCAGAGGGATGTGTAATTTAGTGAGAAACACAGAAGTTTTTTTAGTAAGAGAATGATGAGATTAATCTTACAAATTAGATTTTATCCTAGAGACCTTCCAAGTTAGGGATCTCCTAAGTGGTGTTTTTGGTTTTTTTTTGTGGTGTGCGGGCCTCTCACTGTTGTGGCCTCTCCAGTTGCGGAGCACAGGCTCCAGACACACAGGCCCAGCGGCCATGGCTCACGGGCCCAGCCGCTCCGCGGCATGTGGGATCTTCCTGGACCGGGGCATGAACCCGTGTCCCCTGCATCGGCAGGCGGACTCTCAACCACTGCGCCACCAGGGAAGCCCCAGTGGTGTTTTTGATAGGGCCTCATCTACCTACGGTTAAATTGTTTCAGTGACAGGAAACTTACCATCTCAAAATCCAAAGACGTTTATTATAACATCTTTAAATTATTGGGAATTTCTTCCTTGTAAAGGATCTCTAGGCTGTCTCCCTGAAAATTGGTTCATTCATTCACCAAGTATTTGTGCAACTTCCGTGTTCCAGGCTCTTCTAGGTGCTGGGGCTACAGCAATGTATGGTACAAGGAAGGTCCCTGCTCTCACAGAATGTGCTTCCTCCCCACCCCTCCCTTCAGTCCCCTTCCAGGACTATCAGATATGTGCTACGCAAATAGATAAAATAGGGTGATGTCATAGTGACTGGTTGACTGCTTTTTATCTGTAGGACAGGGGAACCTCTGATGAAGGTTTCCAAGGTGAGGTGTGTTTCGAAGGTGAGAGTGGACAGTCTGTGCTGTTGGATTGGATGTGTGGTGTGAGAGGATAGATTCTTGGCTAGAGCAGCTGGGTGGTACCATTTACTGAGGTGAGAGACTGGGGATAGGCAGGTTTAGGGTACAGTTATCAGGGATTCTGTTTTGGGCATGATATGTTTGAGATGCCTTCTCGACATCCAACTGAAGTCAAGTAGGGATGAGATAAATGGGCCTGAACTTCTGGAGAAAGTCAAGACTAAGGATAGAAATGTAGCAGTTATCTGTATTTAGATGATATCTAAAGCCATGGAGCTGTCACACTTCTTAGGTAGAGAAGGCAGTTAGGAAGAGAGGGCGTTACTTAGAACCAGTTAGAGTTTGTACTGTAGCCTTCTGAGGCTACCTGGAGGAGGAGGAGTCTGCTGGGAAAATATGGTCCCAGAAGGAGGGGATTGGGAGTTTGAGTCAGATTCTGTGCTCTAGATATAGTTCCTTTCTTTTCCAGACTAACATCCCTTCAGAGGTTCAAAGGTAAATCTTGTCTCTCCTTCTACCTTCCCCCTTTGGTTCGCACTGCCACCACCATGGTTTAGACCCTCTCAGTGGCTCGCTGTTGTGGGACTGTTGAATTAGCATCCTAAGCATCGTCTAGACTCTTTTGCTCCCTTCCATTGAGTTTTGCCTCTGAACCATCCCGGGCAGACCATAGCCTATTTTAAAGTGTATAGGTCTTCATTGTTCCTCAAGTTTAATTCCATAGTCATTAAATGAAGATTATATTATGGGTTGTTGAAAACTGTTGAGAATTTATTTGAAAGTGTGTTTTATTAAAAAAGCTAAAACCTAGGGTTTTCTTAAGACCTCAAACTTGAAGGCTTAAAAAAAAAACCAACCCAAGACTTGACATTCTCAGAGAAGGCAGATCCACTTTCATGTCATAAAATCTTTATTTTGAAATTGTTTTGTTATCTGGCGACTTGAACTGACTTAATGTTTGTTTCTTCCACTTAGCATGGAGGATGAAAAGGAAGATAGTAAAGTTATACCTACAGAATGTGCCATCAAGGTATTTAAAACAACCCTTAATGAGTTTAAGAATCGTGACAAATATATTAAAGATGATTTCAGGTTTAAAGATCGCTTCAGTAAACTAAATCCACGTAAGATCATCCGCATGTGGGCAGAAAAAGAAATGCACAATCTCACAAGGTAAAGAAAATCATCGTGCTAGAAGTCATCTTGGGTGATCACCTGTTTGTATTAGGCCTACCAGCCAGGCAAAAAACCCACACTTTCTTTCAAATTCATTTATAGAAAGTATGAAAGGCCTTGAAATTCTAGTGCTTAAGGAGAGTTTCTGTAAGAAAACATTTCCATGTATATAACCTGAATTCATACTTGTAGGATGAAAAATCCATTTTGTTTTTCTTTCCTCAGTAAAGTTTGAGGGAAATTAAGTCATTTTCAACTGCAGATATTTTGTCATGTATCTAAACGCTATCTTTTCCAGTTTCCCGTTAGGCATATTACAAATAATGATTTCCTTTTTTGTTTCAGAACATGTTTATTCTATCTAATGTTTGTTCATTTGGTGAGGGCAGGGTTTTACCAGTCAAATTGCATTTTGCTTTAATTTATTAGACTTGTTTCTCAATTCTCTACGCAGAATTTATCAAGGAATTTGCTTTGTCAACCAAGAAATTAATAATCTTTCTTACATACAAACCTGCCCACATCTGAACCGTGAAAGCTTTTAATTTTAGTTTGTTTTTCCTAAAGATGTTTGCTTTCAAAAGTAATTATCTATATTTATTAGCTGCAAAAGTCTTCTACTTAGTAGGACTTCTAATTAGAATAATTTCCTAAGAGGTCTTGCTGTCCTCCGATCTCTTTTCTGGATTACTAAGATCTCATCACTGCCTTTCTTAAAATTTTTCAGCGGCTCCCATAGTCTTTGGTGTAAAGTTCAAAGTCATCTTGCGATGTGGAGCCTGCCTGTCTCTGTAGCCTAAACCCACATTGCCCTTCCTCCTACTCATGATCCAGCTGCGTTGATTTATACACACTCCCCACATGGACTGTGCTCCTGGACTCCTCTGTGCATCTCCACAGCATCTCCCCACAGTTGGAACCTGGCTAATTCCTATTTGCCTGCTTCTTCCTTGATGCCTCCTACCCCCACCTCTGCCAGTGCATGTACCACATTGCGCTGTAATCATCTCCTCACTTGTCTGTTGTTTTCACCAGGCCGCAGGCTCCATGAGGGCAGAGGCTGTTCTTACTGCCTTTGCCTTCCAACATTCCCCAGATTACAACATAGTGCCCCCTCATTGCAGGACCTTGTTAGATATTTGTTGAATAAATGAAATTTCCTCTCCTTCTGATCTTTACATTCTTAATCATTTCTTTCTGTATAGAATGCAGAGAGCTGGAATTCCTTGTCCAACAGTTGTGCTACTAAAGAAACACATTTTGGTTATGTCTTTTATTGGCTATGATCAAGTTCCAGCCCCTAAATTGAAAGAAGTAAAGCTCAGCAGTGAAGAAATGAAAGAAGCCTACTATCAAACTCTTCATGTAAGTTGTGCCTTTCAGACCATTCACACACCAGCTTTAAACAATATTTCCTCTAAACGAAAAAAGAAATTCCTAAAATAGTACTATTTTAAGGTGATATAACGAGGACAAACTGAAGTTTGTGAAAGAATGTTAATATTGAAGAATTGTCTTTATATCAATATGCGTATGTCTTGAGTTGTTTTAGGAAAATCTTAGTGGAGAAAGTGAGGGCTCAGTTGTTAGCATTAATGACATAGAAGCCAGAAGCTATTATTGACAAAACTTCATTAACTAAAACTTGATGTTACTGTATTTAGCAGATATAGTGCCTCATTAGTTTGTGTGCCTTTTTGAAACAGTGAAGGGAAATACCTTTCCTGTTGGGGAATTAGAGGGAAGCAGATTTGGTCAATGAAAGTAAGTGATGATGAAAAAGAAGGTAGTAAGGGGTGGTTTCTCCATCTGTGCAGGCATTAGAGTTGGGAGGCACTTGTCAGGAGTCTTGAGGAAGCTATTTATGCTTTGGGACAGCAACCAAATTCAGTCTGGGGTCCTTCAAGCTTAAGAAATGCTCCTCATATTGTTGTTGTTCCTCTGTATTGTCTTTTTTTTTTTGTCTTAATTGAATAGTGGCGAAACATGTTTTTTTTGTTTATTTATTTATTTATCTATGGCTGCGTTGGGTCTTCGTTGCTGAGCACGGGCTTTCTGTAGTTGCAGTGAGTGGGGGCCACTCTTCATTGCCATGCATGGACTTCTCATTGCGGTGGCTTCTCTTGTTGCAGAGCACAGGCTCTAGGCACGTGGGCTTCAGTAGTTGTGGCTCGTGGGCTCTAGAGCGCAGCCTCAGTAGTTGTGGCGCACAGGCTTAGTTGCTCCGCGGCATGTGGGATCTTCCGGGACCAGGGCTCGAACACATATCCTCTGCATTGGCAGGCAGATTCTTAACCGCTGCGCCACCAGGGAAGTCCAAAACATATGTTTTTAAAACAGTCTCTGCGTGGAACTCTTATATCATGCAGCAGTTGATGTGAATATGAACGTATTATCCAAATTAATTTTTTAAGATATAGTTAGATAATCCAACTTTCTCTGCCTTCAGTTGGAAAACATTCAAAGAAAATTAAGCCTACTTTTCTGGCTTCTTTTGGCTGTGGGGTGGCTGGGGCAGAGATTAAGTAGTGATGTGCCCTTCCTATTTGATTCTATTAAAGCTGGGAAACAAAGCATTAATGCTGATTTCTACTATGAGGCTAGGGGTCACCATTAGTCATGAATATATAATGCCGCTTAATTAAGAAGAATACTTCTTTCCCACTCTGTCTGGCAGGAAGTACTTTTTACCTTGGAGTTGTATACACTCCATAGAGCTCTCAGTGGGATGTTTGCCCTTTTATGAAGGATAAGCCTAGGTCCCCTGGTTAGTGACCATAGCTGTCTTACGTATGTGGGATTCCAGGACTACCCTTTGGTCTCCTGATCTCATTGCTGTCACATGGATAGGGAAGTAGAGTGTCATGTGCTCTTCCCTTCCATTGTCTCACTGTGCTCACACCCTCCTTCAGGGTAGAAAAAAAAACCAAAAAACCAGTCCTAGACTGTACAAAGAAGAAGTAAGTTCTTTACCCTGGTTTTGCTCTTTATGGAAAATATTGGGTGACATAGACATTTTAGTTGTGTAGGTAAATTAGAGTTGTTCCTTCATTTTCTAAATGTCTGCCTTGCCTCCTTACAGTTGATGCAGCAGTTATATAATGAGTGTAAGCTCGTACATGCCGACCTCAGTGAGTACAACATGCTGTGGCATGCTGGGAAGGTGAGGAGCATTTTGTTAACGTTCAGGTTAAGTGACTTGATGTAAATTACTGAAGGTACAGAAATCACTGTGCTCTATATTTAAATAGGTCTGGTTGATAGACGTCAGTCAGTCTGTAGAACCAACCCATCCTCATGGCCTGGAGTTCTTGTTCCGTGACTGTAGGAATGTCTCACAGGTAGGCATGTAAACTAACTGTCTTTTTTATGGGCTATAACATATTCAAACATTTTTCTCACTCCTAAGGCAAGTAAGATGATTGTATTCTTAGAAATTAAAGGAAGAGTTTAGTTAACTGGTTGCTTTCAAGGTAAAGAGACAAAGATTGATTTGTCAGATTTCATTTTTTGCAAGAATTTGATTGCATGGCCCACATTTGGGCCACTGAATTAAATTTCCAAGAGAGTAAGTTTTTATTTTGGTTCTAAATATTTAAGCAGTCAAGTAGACATTTAATATATGCACAGTGCTTTAAGGGAAGCTGGCCTGAAGCAAGCCTGCATGCTTACTGCCATTGTTATTAGACTAAAAGAATAGTTTTCCTAGTGGTATAGTCTGACCACATTCTCTGAGGCAGAGTGAACAGATTAGGGAAGGTAAAACTCAGTAATCACAGAGTTGGGAAGCATTTGTTTGCTATTTCTAAAGGAAATGAATTGTCAGCAACAGATTCAGATAGAGATGATCTTCCTAAATATGACAGAACAACTTTATTTTGGAAATACATTCTGAGCCTACTGGAAAATGTTAATTCATGGGATTTAGTGATTATTTTGTGTCTGCTCATTCAAAGCAACGCCAAGCAATTTTACATATACCACTCATACATAGCTATGGAAGGTGCAATATGACAAACTTACTAAGTCTAGACGACAGCCCAGATGTGTGAGAGGACAGTAAGCAAGTAGAACCTGAGTGTAGTTATACTTGAATTGGAAACATCTGTAGCTTAAAAATTACGGAAGGAATTCACTGGCGTTTTACAAGTACACTGTTCCCTGTTTTTTTTGTTGTTGTTGTTTCTAGGAGAACCTTGCTAATAAGTCTACTGACTTTCTTATATTTCTTTACTAGTTTTTCCAGAAAGGAGGCGTAAAGGAAGCCCTTAGTGAACGAGAACTCTTCAATGCCGTTTCAGGCTTAAACATCTCGGCAGATAATGAAGCTGAGTTCTTAGCTGAGGTAAGTGTTACAAGGCTGTTTTTCACCTTGCTGTTAGTGGGGACCTGGATAGAGTAGATAATGAAAACCAGAGCTAAGTTTATCCTCTCATCCCCTCAAAAACAAAATTAATTAGAGATTTTTCCTTTCTTGAGATACTGTTTTTGATCCTTCTTTTCCAGGCTTAAACCCTAGGATAAACATAACAGCAAAACACTTCTTCAAGAAGTTCATAGTTTGGTTGAGATGGACAAATAACACATTTCCAGTATATGCCTTTTTCCCTGACCGGTGAACACTCTGGGTGACACAAAAAAGCAGTAACACTTGGTCCCTGCCTGCCTTTAACTGAATACAGAGATTCAGCAGTGGCCATTCTTGGAAATACCCAGTCATTACAATGTGGACCTACAGAACAATACAATAATAAAAAAAAAAAATACCTCCGGGGAAGTTCTCTGAAAATTGAACAAAAACTGAAAAGTGAAACAGCAGCTTATTATTTCCAGCAACCTGCCAAAGCAGAGAATGATTATAGAATCTGTTCCAGAAATCCCCATATTGACTTGAATTTGGCCAAGCTGTGCTGGAGTCTAAGGCCAGAAGCGAAGTAACAGGAAGATGGTAAATCCAGCCTTTAGTTCAGTACAGTTGCTCTGTACAGTTACTGGGTGTTACTGCTGTTGAATCAACTTTGGAATTTCCTTTTTCTTGTTCCCTGAAAGCTGTATAGGTTATATAGTAAAACATATCTGATGCCAATTGCTAGCTTGATAAAGACACTAAACATCAACCCTGGTAATGGAATCAAGTAAAAACATACATGTATGTGACCCACTGTAATATGTGTCACACACTGTAATTCTTATTCAAGGCCAATGTCGTTAGGAATGACCTAGTTTTAAGAGAGTAAAAATACTGGTTCAATCTCAAGCGTAATTGCTGTGAAGTAGGATTTTGACAAATGGATTTAATATATTAATTTTATAGATAGAAGCTTTGGAGAAAATGAATGAAGATCACGTTCAGAAGAATGGAAGGAAAGCTGCTTCATTTTTGAAAGATGATGGAGGTCCGCCAGTGTTATACGACGAATAGCACTAATATCCACTGCTTTCAGTGTTAACACAGTGGTGATTGTCAGCTGCCATTAGCAAATGAAGTTATGGGTGACTTGAAATACCAAAACATGAGGAATGTACAATGGTGCTTCTGTGCTTTTTTTCCCTTGTAACCCATATGCCAGGTATGTGGAATTTTTAGCTCGGCATTGAGAGACTGAAATGTCAACTACCTCTCATGATATGAATAGGATAATATAATTCTTCACAGCTACAGGTTATCTAGCTGAAATCAACCTGATTTTAAGGATTTGTGGCATAAAATGTTTGATGAGAATTTTTAACATTTCCAAATATGGGAGGAAGGGACAGATGTGTTTACAAGGGAGGCTTTTATTACAACTCACTTGCTTTTTTCACCTCCCTGCTTTGTGTTGCGTCTTTCCTCATATATTTTATTTACCTAAAATTAGCCCTTCTCAGTTCTTTTTCCAGACTGTGACCATGATTCTAAAGGAAAATTTCTTCTCTTTAGTAGCTGATATAAATGGAAATTTGGTTTCAGAATGGCTGACAGAAATAGACATAAGCAAAGTACTTTTTTTGGTATATCTTGAATTATGAACTGAATTCTTCTTTTCCACACTCATATGCAAGGAAAGGCATCATCGGTTTCTGAAAGAGATAAATATATAAGTACTTTTCAACTATCCAAATTTTTTAAATTTAACTTTCAGCTTTTCTACATTTAGGTGAAATAGTTAGGATGTAACTCACGGTGCAGCTGCTCTGCATTTATAATGAAAATGTAAATTATCTAGAAGGACAGAATGGAATCTTTAACCATGTTTGACATATTTTAATGAAGTCAGTGAAACAAAGTTCAGTTTACGTTTCACTCAAACTATATACTTACTAATTGATTTTGAGAGAAATATAGCAAGCTAATTAGAAACATTGTATCATCAAATGATGAAAAGTATGTATAAAACAAGTTGAGTACCAAATTAACCAACTAATTTGAACTATCTGGCCTAACTTTTAATAATGTTTAGTACTGGCCAGACTCCACTTCTTAATGCAGCCAAAGTACATTGGCTTTGTTAGGATTGAAGCTCATTCACTGCAACAGAATCATTCCTCCTATTGTTGGAATCAGATTGGAATCACTAAAGACCTAACCTTTCTGTCTGGTAATAGAAAGTAAAAATCTGAACTTTGCCCTTGAAAGCTTCTACATTAAAATTATTTAAAAATGCCAAATATATTCTTTCTAGAAAAATAGTTTTGTTTCTGTTGTATAACTTTTAATTGCATTTCAGAGAAGTGTGATTTGGGGTACTCATTACGTTTCTGAAATGTTTACCACTATGAAAGAAATATTTAGATGACTGGTGATTATTGGCATTACAGAAGTTTCAAAGAACTAATTTTAAGAACAGTTAACCATTAAATTTTGTTTTGTTTTGTTTTCTGACATACTCTGACGGTAGCAGCAAACTGTTGCTGTGTGGCGTTCCTGGAGTGTGCTGTGAACATGCTTCTTAAGAAATTAAAAATGAAGAGATCATTTTAGAATTGGTTCTCTGTGTGGATTCTTCCTGTTCCTTGGAAGTATTAACTTATGTCCTGGCACCAGGTTACCCCTTCTGTTTAAGTTAAACAGTGCTATTTTCAGCAGTTTTTTTCCTCTCAACTTCCCATCTTTAGATTTCACTTTTAAATGACCTACTTCACATTACAAACAGGTTTTTCCTCTCATATAGATCAGTGAGTAAATTTTTCACACAGTGGAAAAAGAAAGTGGAAAATATTGATTTGCTAAATAGTCAAATACAGATGGGGGAAAAAAATGGAAATAAGCATATTTTGTTTCACTTTAATGGAAGTGGATATATGAATATCTATAAGATAAATTATCAAAATAAAGATTATATGTAGAGAATTTTTATTTCAACAAGATAATTTTTTGCCAGTTTCTTTAAAAAATCATCTTTTCTGCTTACAAAAGTAAGATGTGCATTCTCGTTTATTTGATTTTTATTTTATTTATTTTTGGCTGTGTTGGGTCTTTGTTACTGCACGTGGGCTTTTCTGTAGTTGCAGTGAGCGGGGGTTACTCTTCATGGCAGTGCACGGGCTTCTCATTGTGGTGGCTTCTCTGGTTGCGGAGCATGGGCTCTAGGCGTGCGGGCTTCAGTAGTTGTGACTCGCGGGCTCTAGAGCGCAGGCTCAGTAGTTGTGGCACACAGGCCTAGTTGCTCCGAGACGTGGGATCTTCCCGGACCAGGGGTCGAACCTGTGTCCGCTGCATTGGCAGGCAGATTCTTATCCACTGTGCCACCAGGAAAGCCCATGCATGCTCATTTAAATTTAAATATTATAGAAATTCAGAAATGCTAAAGTAAAGGTCCCTTGCATTCCAAAAATCATTGCATGTAGTGGGGCATACACCCCTGCCAATTTTTTTCCCTCAGCAAATGTTATATTCTCTTTAAAAAAAAAAATCTTTGAACGGAAAGTGAGATGAAGCGAGGTAGCTGATGGTGAAGTGATGATCATGGTAAACCCCTAAGGAAGATGAAGGAGATGGAGGCCCTGAGATATGGTAGAGGCAGTACATTTTCTGTTGTTGCTCATTTAGGCCCTGGGCATCAGAAGAAATTGTTGTCTGCACCTTTTGAAAAACTTCTGAGCAGTTTCCAACACTTTAGAAATTGCTAGGGAAAAGCTCATCTGATTGTATTTTCAAACCTCAATACTTCTATTTTTGAAGATATATATTTTAAGCATGATTGTAAGTTCTCAAAGTTTGTTTATTTTTAAATTTATTTATTTATTTTTGGCTGCTTTGGGTCTTCATTGCTGCACATGGGCTTTCTCTAGTTGTGGCGAGCAGGGGCTACAATTCGTTGCTGTGCACAGGCTTCTCATTGCTGTGACTTCTCTTGTTGTGGGGCATGGGCTCTAGGTGCGTGGGCTTCAATAGTTGTGTCACGCGGTCTTAGTAGTTGTGGCTCACAGGCTCAGTAGTTGTGGCACACGGGCTTAGTTGCTCTGCAGCATGTGGGATCTTCCTGGACCAGGGCTCAAACCCGCATCCCCTGCATTGGCAGGCGGATTCTTAACCACTGCGCCACCAGGGAAGTCCCTAAGTTCTCAGAGTTTATAGTTGGAGGCGTATCAGTTTATTCATTTCAAAGCCTTTTGTTTTTATTCTTCGATTTCATATTTGTTTCCCAATTCATTAATATAAAACGGTTACATTTGGGAGCAGCCTTACTTTTGCTGTCCTGGGCTTTCCAGTTTTTCCCCAAACATAGCTAGCTTTTTGAGGAGTTAAGACCAAATATAGTAGAAAGATAAGAACAAAGCAGATGGAGGGGGAAGGTGGGGTATTCATTTCAGAATAAATGAGTGAGCTACAGCTTACAGCTCTAAACTGTTTTTCTCTCTCTAATGCCTTCTGGCAGGGAAAGAACACATAATCAAATAGAATGCTTGATGCAAAACCATAAGAACGGTATCTGGGTAAAGTGCCAAATGATGAACCAAAATTTATGAAAAATGTGGGAAATATCAAAAAGGGTTTGAAAAATTAAATCTTAAGAAGAAACACATGAGTCCATTGCTTGAAGTTTTAATATATTATTATTAAGTAACAAAAACAGTACTACTCATTTCCTATTTCATCTTTTTGAAGTTGAGTTATATTCGGAAAAGGATAAAACAAATATTGGACAGAGTAATTGAAGCCTTTGTCCCCAAATGTTTTCTCCCCTAAATCCACATGAAGCCTTAACCCCTATCATGACAACTGTATTTAGAAATGGAGCCTTTAAGAAGGTATTAAAAAAAAAAGGTATAAATGTTAAGTGAAGTCATAGGGGCCCTAATCCAACAGGACTGATGTCCTTATAAGAAGAGGAAGCAACACCAGAGACCTCCCTTCACGCAAGCACAGAGGAAAGGCCATGTGAGGACACACGAGAAGGCAGCTGTCTGCACCCCAAAGAGAGGCCTCACCAGACATCAGCCCTGCACTTTGATCTTGGACTTCTATCCTCCAGAACTGTGAGAAAATTAATTTCTGTTTTTTAAGCCATGCAGTCTGTCGTATTTTGTTACGGTAGCCCAAGCAGACTAATACAAAACCCAAGGTAGATATAGTGTTTTTGGTGGGTGGAATATGGGGAGGGCATCCTACTCCTTCAGCTAATTTAAGAATTTTGCTAAGGTGAAAAATATCCAAGATATTTGGGAAAATTTTTAAAGAGAGAAGATGGTATATGGTAAGACAGTATATTACACATATAGAATTATTAAAATTGTGTTGTTACCATTTGAGCTTCCATGAATTTCTAAAAAAACTATTAAGCAGGGTTATTAAAATAGGGAAATACAACAGGTAGGATTTTGGACTTCAGGTGTCTCCGCTACCAACCCCCATAAGCTAGAAGAATATAGACAACATGATGGTAACTTTAGATTAGTTGCAGAGCAACTCCAGACCCTTTGTGTCTTCAGTCAGACCTTCACGTGACAGCAGCCCAGGCCAGCATCATAACTGCAACTCAGGTGGGTCCCTGAGTCAGAGCTACCCAGGGAAGCATGTGCAAATTCTGATTCACAGAAACTGTTAAAAAAAAAATAAATGTTTGTGAGAACTTCCCTGGTGGTCCAGTGGCTAAGACTGTACTCCCAATGTAGGGAGCCCGGGTTCGATTCCTGGCCAGGGAACTAGATTCCTCATGCCACAGCTAAGACCCAGCACAGCCTTAATAAATAAGTAAATAAATATTTTTAAAAATAATAATAAATGTTTGTGGTCTTAAGCCATTAAGTTTTGTGGGTAATTTGTATTGGAGCAATAGATAACTAATACAGTGGATAAGAGGTTGATTCAAAGTTCAAGAAAGACCAATAGATTTTAATGTAACAGAGTACAAAAAATTCATTGATACAGTTTTGGATTCCACATTGCAACTAGCCTTTAAGAAATTATGACTTGCTGAGTATTGGTGTATTAAAGAATATCTACAATGATCTGAAAAGGCCATTTATTTACTCCTTTTTCCAACTACCTATCTGTAGGAGGCCCGATTATCCTCATATACTTCAACTAAAACAAAATACCTCAACAGATTGCATACAGAAGTAGATACAAGAATTCAGCTGTCTTCTAATAAGTCAGACATTAAAGAGATTTGGAAAAATATAAAAATGCCATTTTTCTTACTGAAGTTTTGGAAAATACAGTTATTTTTTACTTGTAAATATTCTTTATATTAACATGTTTTGTTATTTTTAAGAGTTTTTTTTAATTTCTCAGTTTTAATTTTGAATATCAATATATTTAACTCACATAAACAAAAGCTCATTGAGGTCTTCAGTAATTTTTGAAAGTAAAAAGGTGTCCTGAGGCCAAAAGTTTGAGAACTGCTGCTCTAACGGATACAAGCATGAGAATGTACTTACAGGAAAGCAGCTAGAATTGGGCTGGAAATCATATCATGTTGTATGTGGATTAGCCAAAGAATTTGAAGGTGGTTAGTCTGGAAAAGATTTAGGACCTAATGTCTATCTTCTAAAAGGAAAGGAGCATTGATTTTTTTATAAAGGCAGTGTAGAATGGGAGTTAACAGCAGGAATTTGGTAATCAAACAGACCTGTGTTTGAGACCCACTTATGGTATTAAGAGCTCTGTGGTTTGAGCAATTAAATCATGTTTTTCCTTCCTCTTTTTTTTTAATTTGATTTTTAAAATTGTGATTAAATATACATATCATAAAATTTACCATTTTAACCATTTTAAAACATACAGTTCAGGGACTTCCCCGGTGGTCCAGTGGTAAAGAATCCACCTTCCAATGCAGGGGATGTGGGTTTGATCCCTGGTCGGGGAACTAAGACCCACATGCTGTGGGGCAGCTAAGCCTGCACACCACAACTACTGAGCTCACGCGCCTTAAAGAGAGAGCCTGCATGCTGCAAACTACAGAGCCCACGCACTCTGGAGCCCCTGCGTGCCACAACTAGATAGAGAAAACGCTGCAGGCCACAACTAGAGAGAAGCCTGTGCACCGCAGCTAGAGAGAAGCCCGAGCACCACAGTGAAAGATCCTGCCTGCCTCAACTAAGACCCGATGCAGCCAAAAAAAGCCATACGGTTCAGTGGCATTAACTGCATTCACATTTATTTATTTATTTATTTATTTATTTATTTTTGTGGTACACGGGCCTCTCACTGTTGTGGCCTCTCCCGTTGCGGAGTACAGGCTCCAGACGTGCAGGCTCAGCAGCCATGGCTCACGGGCCCAGCCGCTCCACAGCATGTGGGATCTTCCCGGACCGGGGCATGAACCCGTGTCCCCTGCATCGGCAGATGGACTCTTAACCACTGCACCACTAGGGAAGCTCCACATTTATTTTTTAATTTATTTATTTTTGGCTGCGTTGGGTCTTTGTTGCTGCGCGCGGGCTTTCTCTACTTGAGGCGAGCAGGGGCTACTCTTCGTGGTGGTGTGTGGGCTTCTCATTGCGGTGGCTTCTCTTGTTGCGGAGCACAGGCTCTAGGCATGCGGGCTCAGTAGTTGTTGCTCGCAGGCTCTAGAGCGCAGGCTCAGTAGTTGTGACACATAGGCTTAGTTGCTCTGTGGCATGTGGGATCTTCCCGGACCAGGGCTTGAACCCATGTCCCCTGCATTGGCAAGTGGATTCTTAACCACTGTGCCACCAGGGAAGCCCAAGTGCGTTCACATTTTTTATGCAACCATCACCACCATCCATCTCCAAGATTTTTTCATCTCCCCAAACTGAAACTCTGTATCCATCAAACACTAAACTCCCCATTCCTCCAATCTCTGGCAACCACAATTTTACTGTTTCTGTGAATTTGGGTACTCTAGGTAACTCACATAAATATTAGTCAGTTTGTGCCTGGCTTATT